TGCTTTTGCCCAATTTTGAGAACCTTATTCGCGTAGTTGCTGCATACCATTTGTTTGAGGACTACTCACCATGTCGTACTCTTGTTGCAGCACAGCATTTATTTGATAACTACTTATCATGCAGTACTCTTGTTGCAGCACAGCATTTATTTGATAAATGCTTGTCATAATAGCACAGCACTGATGGCCGTTAGGGCTGGGGGCGTTTAGAGCCGCAACTGCGAAAATGTCCGTTCCTTCCCGCCCGCAACCATAACCGATGAATTGGGTTTTTCTTATGATCGGTTGAGGTGGATCTCGGTTGTCGTTGAAACCGATAACTCAGGCGGGCAGTTATCGGTTCTTGGGCTCAACAACCGACAACCGCAAAAGTAGGCCAAACAACCGAGGCCTTTTTTTTTTTTTTTTACTTTTCTATAATTTATTTTTCCATTTCCCTACAATTCCACCTTGTTTCTTGCAATCCGGCCTTGTTTCTTGCAATCCCACCCAATCTTGCCTCCCAAATTAGTCACTTCATATTAGAATTTTTTTTTGGGTACTTTTTTATAATTTTTTTTTCCCATTTCCCCACAATCCCGCCTTGTTTCTTGACGATTCTTGTTATCCCGCCCAATCTTGGCGCCCAAATTGTGCCCAGAATGCATTAATCACTTTTTATTAGATTTTTTTTGGGCAAACTAGTAATTTAGCAACTAGAAAAATACCTAAGTATAGTTTACCAAAAAAAAATACCTAAGTATAAAAATGAAAATTAATCTAAACTCCAACAAAGCAGCCATTTTCATCTTTCCTTTTTCTTTGTTCTCTCAACTTCGGAAGAACTTCCTACTCTCCCTTTTTCTTGTATCTATCAACAAAGGTGGTGGCCGATGGTGACCCATTTTGTGGTTGCCATCGAAATTGTCAACTTGATCCTTGTTGTCCCGCTCTCTTCATAAATTCTGTCATCCATTCCTTTCAATTAACAAATTGCTCAAAACCAAAGTTATAAATCTCTTCCCTTTTTAATTAAATATGAAAGATTTTTAGAATTTTTTTATTTTAAATTTCAATCCTTTAGTTTTTAACTAAATCTTAGTTGATTGTTAGAAAACTTTAACCCTAAAATGAATCTATTTGTTTTGGTGATAATATTTACTTGTGTTAACTTTATTTTTTATCTAAAATGTAGTGTGATTATCTTCATATGGAGGTTAATAGTGAAGAGCATCAATCAGTAAATTCAAGTATAAGTTTTTAGCTTGGTTTTGTTTTGAGCATCAAATTTAAGTTTGTAACAGGAGATTATTATTGATTTCAATAAAGAATTTTGCTATTGAAATTTGGAAACAAGGCTAAAAGTGCTAAGTATTAAGTCGGTTAAAAACACAACCGACACCGAGAATTATAAAATAAAAATAATCAAATATTAAAAAATCATAATAATTTAATGCAGTTAATGGTTGCTATATTTTAAAAACCAATTATACAGTTAACCATTAATCGGTTACGGTTACAATTGAAACCGCCCGACACCCAACCTTAATGGC